CACATAGACAAATGTAGAATTGATGCAATTGTCTTCAAAAAAGGATCACTTAATAAAGTGTTATGACTTCCGGTTTTTCAATGACTTTTTTCTTTCCTTTCTCCCTCCCTCACTAGCTTTCTTCTTTGCTTCTTTCCTTCCACTTCATTCTATCAAACAAGTATTTATTGAATGTCCTTGCCCTGCTAGTCATTATCCAAGCCAGGAGTTTACAAAAACAAGGACACTGCCTGTACTAACTAATAATCTAGTGTAGTGTGTGTTCGGGGAGAAGGAAACATGGGAACACACATGTATACATAAAAAGTTTCAGAAAACAGACAAGAGTATGCAACCAGATCTGCCTTGGTGAGTTAGGGAAGATTCTCCAGGAAAGATAAAAACTTGGGCTTGATTTTGAAAGAAAAGTTGAAGGGGGGAGCAGAAGGTATAAAAATACTTGGTGTGTTGTGGGCCTGGTGAGTAGTTCAAAGTCATAATGTATGGGGTTCATGACAATGGATAGTGGGAGGTATGGCTAGAAAAATAGGATGAATTCAGATTAAGATGGACTTTGTAGGTGTTATTTTGTCATGTGACATCAAAGAGCCATTGCAGGTTTTAGGACAGTAGATTTGATTGGAATTTATTTATTTATTTATTTATTTATTTATTTATTTATTTAAGACTTTATTTATTTATTTGTCAGAGAGAGACAGAGAGAGCACAAGCAGGGGAAGTGGCAGGCAGAGGGAGAAGCAGCCTTCTTGCTGAGCAAGGAGCCCGAGGCAGGACTCGATCTCAGGACCCTGAGATCATGACTTGAGCCAAAGGCAGACGCTTAACCCACTGAGCCACCCAAGCATCCCTGGACTTGTATTTAGAACCATAATTTTGGCAATACAGATCAGAGAGGAATAAGAGGTCATTATTAGGGAGACCAATTGCAAAGCTATTATTGCAAATAGTTAAGGTAAGAGCTATTGAAGACCTACACAAAGGAATGGCCTATTTTCTGCCTAAGTTGTCTATATGTGAAGCAGGAAAAAAAAGAAAGGAAAATCTGGGAAGGTAGAATCATATTTGTCATGCAAATTAGAAAATAAAAACTACCCTCAAAGGACAACATAAAAGGGGAGCCTGTGTATCTTGCCTGTGGTGACAGATACACACACACACGTGCTAATATTGTATAGAACTAAACACACACACACAAGTGGTTCCAAGTGAAACTGGGGGCATTTGAATTAAGATTGTGAATTGTTGTTACCATTGTGGTAAACGGAGTAAAGTTTACACAGATCCTTCTGTGTTATTTTGTACAACTGTATGACTCTATGATCATTTTAACATAAATTTCATTTATATTCATAACATAAATTTCAATTAAAAATGATAGCAAAATAAAGATATTTTCAGATGAAAATCCATTAATCTGTTTTTGGATTAGAGAGAGAAATTTAAGGCAACTTGTCAAAAAATTCCCACTAGAATTTTGATTTTATGTTTCATTTATATAATTTGGGGGAAAAAGGAAAAAATAAAACTATCCAGATTCAACTAAGATAACAATTATTTAAATGTATCTTGTGCAGTTTTTACATGATATTATTGGTGCCATTAGACATTTTACATGCTGATTAATTGAGATGGGTGAAAATAAATATTTATTGAGTACTTAAAGTACAAGTCATTGCTCTGGGGACTTACATATATTTCTCTATTTCATGCTACTGAAGAGGCTGATTTTATTAGAATTATTAATGCATTTTATAGATGGAGAAGCATTAAGGGTCAGACTGTGTAAGTAACTTTTGCAAGGTCACAGAATGTTGGGATGAACCTATGCCTGTCTGACTTTCAAGCCTATGCACTTTTCCAGTACTTAGGGGTTGAAATACAGACATAAACACATTTAAGAAATCATCTCTTCATTGATTTGTCTGGTTGATTTCTATAGTGTCTGTATCTAATTTAGAAATGTGGAATATACTTTTGTGGTTATTGGTGTGGATTATTTCAGCTCAGGAAAACATGATTTAAAATTTGTGACAAGATAACTGTTGATAAAATATTTCACAAAAATAGTGTGAGATACTATTAGAAGACTTCAGGGGAATTCCCTCAACCTTTAAATAAAACAAAAACAAAACAAACCCTCAGTAAGAAGTTTATAATGTTTAACTTTTATTGGGTGTTAATTCTATGTCAGGTATCATGTTAAGCAACTTACATGTTGTTTAAACGTTCACAACAAAATTGGGATGAAAATTGGGCTGTTTGACTCCAAAGCTGCACATCTTAACAACTAGGCTACAATGCCTTAAAAATCAACCGAATGAAGATAAGAGGGGATGAAGAAAAAAGGAACTTTAACTGAAAGTTTAGCATGGTTCATGATCAGTGACCAGGACCACCATTTATTGTAATTAAATTAGCTGATTAACTGCATTATGTGTTTTGAGGGTCTAAGAGGAGTCAATGTGAAAAACTAAATGGTATCTTCAGGTCAGTCACCTTCTAACCCTTTGTCTCATTTTATTTTCTTCATAGCTCTTTTACTTATTTATATCTAAAATTATTTCAGGGGCAGCTGGGTGGCTCAGTCAGTTAAGCGTCTGACTCTTGGTTTCGGCTCGGGTCGTGATCTCAGCCCCACATCAGGCTCTGGGCTCAGTGTGGAGTCTGCTTGAGATCCTCTTCCTCTCCCTAAGCGCCCCCCCCCCACTTGCTCCGGTTCTCTCTATAAAATAAATAAATAAAATCTTAAAAAAATAAAATTATTTCATTACTGTCTGTCTCATGACTTACCTCACTAAAACATAAGTTCGGTAATACCAAGAAACTTGTTTTTCTTATTCAAAGTTGTATTTCCAATGTCTTAAGTTGTTCACAACATATATTTGGGACTATCCCAAATGAATGTATAAATGACCTTCCCTTGACTTAAATGGTAGAGTTTTAGATTTACAAACAATGGTTTAAAAGATTATATTAAAAGACATGCACTATTAGCAATTTACTAGTGTTTCATTTCTTAGATTGGCTAAGATACACTGGAAGAAGGGAAGGAGAAAGCTGGACAAAGGAGCTGGAGGAGGAGGCTGAAGAAAAGGGGAAAGAATATAAACTGGTAATGATAAGCCCTTAAATATGGGGGTGAGGGTTGAAGCATCAGAAATTAGGAGCCTTAGACTAGTGACTCAAATTGATGAGGCCTCCTGGAGTGGGATAGAAATTATCATGAAGGCTAACTTCTCAATTTGATCTCAGAAGTTCTACAACCGCAAAGATTTAAAGAAAGGAGGTGAAAGTAATTTAGGTCACTTCTAGTATGCTAATTACCTCGCATTGTGCATAGCTTTAATTAGAATAAAATAATCTTGAGGTTTCCATTGAAATTAGTGCCAAGTGTATGTACATTTTGGGCACTCGTCTACCTAGTTTATGTCTTGTGGATTCTTCATGAGGAGTCATTACAGATATTATAATTACTTGTTGACTTCACATCATTGTCGAATACAGAGAGTAGGTTGAAAAAAAACCAAAAGAATCACATATGAAGAACCAAAGTAAGTGGGTACACTGAGGTATCTGTAGCTTAGAATGGGAAAGGCAACTAATTTTGCCTTTAAAATTAAAAGGCAATTTAATTTTAATGAGGTTGGGGATGCAAGAAGAAAATCTAGATCCTTTAAAATGGAATACAATTGTTAAACGTGAGCATTACAATAGATGACTCCAGGCAGTTTGAAATTTAAAGGAATGAGCATGTAGAGAAGAGGTTCTCAAACTTTTTGGCCTCAAGACCCCTTTACACTCTAAAACTTAGGGACGCCAGAGAACTATCCTGTGCATTCTAGGTCCTGATATTTAGCGTATCAGAAATTAAGAAATTTTAAAAGTATTTATTATTTCATCTAAAAACAATAAATCAATTAAATATTAACATAAAATAATCTTTTATATGAAAAGTAAATTTCCAAAACAAAAAAATTAAGTAGAGTGGCATTGTCTTACGTTTTTGCAAATCTCCTTAATGTCTGGTTTAACTGCAGATGACTGGATTTTATTATCTGCTTCCTTTTTCAAATGTTTCCGTATCACATGTCATGTAGTCTCCGGAAAACTCCACTGTACACTTGTGAGAGAATGAGAATGCAAAAGGCAAATAACGTCTTAATATTATTATGGAAATACTTTCGACTTCCCCCTTTAAAGGGTCTGGGGACCACACTTTGAGGACCACTGTTTTAAGAGTTAACATCAGTCGATCCAGCATCAGTTGAAAAATAGCCATGATGTTTCACAGGCCTGAGGATTTACATAAAATTTATTTTTTCAGCAAGATGAAACAACAGTGCCCTCATTATAAAGCATTCAGAGAATAAACAAACATTGCCATTTTCATCCATCAAAAGAACTTAAATAGAAATGGGGGATCGCACGTTAGGTAAAAGGATGGAGGGGTAGGGATGAGGAGGCAGCCCCGGAAGCCACTGAGACCCACCAAGTTAGGAGACGCAAAACCTGCAAAAGACGCCGCCAAAGTGGTCAGGAGGAAAGAACTGTTGTTCTTAGGGGAAAATATGGGCGGGGAGGGAAAATGGTTACCGGGGACCGGGGAGTTGAAGGAATTCGGCCGGGATAAGGACAAGCGGTAGCTGCCCCACCCCGCCCTCACGCCTCCCTGCACCAGGCCGAGGAGGACGAGGTGGGCCAGGGGCGAGGCGAGCGGGTCAGGGAGCTTCCCGGGAACCTAACGGGTTGTGATTTCTTTTCATGTGCAGCGGGGAGAGAAGAGATGGCGCGGCGCGTAGCAGGGGGCGGAGGCGGGAACCCTAGGACCCCAAGCACCGCGCGGAGGGTGTGGAGGTCTTCGGGGAAGAAGGACAGTTCTGTTGCTAGGCAACCTGTGCTGGGCCCGCCTCCCGCTCGCGTTGCTAGGAGACGGCAAGGCCTGGGGGGGCGGCGGAGCGGGCCCTACGTGCTGACGCTAATTGTATATGAGCGCGAGCGGCGGGCTCTCGGGTCTTTTTTTAGCGCCATCTGCTCGCGGCGCCGCCTCCTGCTCCTCCCGCCGCCGCCCTGAGTCACTGCCTGCGCAGCTCCGACCGCCTGGCTCCCCGTGCTAGCCACCGGTAACGGATGGGGGTCTGAAAGGGAAAGGGGAACGCAGAGTCGGTCAGGCGGCCTGCGCGGAGGGAAGGGACGGGGAAATAAGATTGGGGGCCGCTGGCCTTCGGGGCCTCCCGGGTCGTCCAGTGAGGCCGGAGCCTGAGCCGTCCGCGGAGTTTCGTCCCCGTAGCCTGAGAGGGCCTCCGGGATTGGCTGGCGCTTTACTCGGGAACGGCTGAGGGGACGCGGGGTTCGGTGCGGCCTGCGAGGCCCGGGGTCCGTGCTAGTGTGCGCCGAGGTTCCCTGAGCCCCACCGGCTTCTACGCGCGGACGGGAGCGAGGCCGCGATTTCACCTCCCGGTCCACAGCGGCTGTCTCCTTAGGGCGCCCGGGGTGCGGGCCGGGTTCGAGGGCGCAGCCCACCGCTTCCTCGACGCCCCCGCTTCCTCAAAAATAATCCCCGGAGGGAGGCCGCTGGGGGATGGAGAGAACGGCGGAGGCTGCGAATTCCGATGGGAGGGAGGGGATGTGTAGGGACGAGGCCTGGAGGGGGCGGGGAGGCTGCGAGGCTCCTGGGCTCTCCGCCCACTGGAGGCGGCGACGGGCTGGGAGGGGAAACCCCGGCGGCTTCCCTAGACACGTGGCCGCCGCCTGGGCTTGACTGGAGACCGAGGTCTGGGTTGTCCTCACTTTACTGAGAGTTGTAGGGATGGTGGCATTTGGAAATTAACGGTAAATAAGACTAGCCTTTGGCTTTCAAACTCCTACCTGCTTCTCTCTGGTCTTAAATCTTTTTATTGGTATCAGAGGAAAGTATGAATGTTAGGAGATGGGTGGTGAAGCATGGCCTCTACTGCTAGGATTTTAAAGCATTAACGCTTGTAAAGGGGTCGTGTTAGCTGTTACTAACACATGATTGTTTTGTGTACCTCCAGTACAGTTAGAATTTAGATGGGTGTCTTGACCAGGATTTCATTATTTGGGGAGAATTGATCCTAATTAATCTAATCCTGTAAACGGTTTTAAGATGAAAATAAACGATTTGGCCTGAAATGTCTTTAATTCTGTTAGGACTTCTTTCACATTCTTACAAATTGGTTCCTTTATTGAATTTCCCAGAATAGATTACTTAAGTAGTTGTTTTGTTTTTAAGATGAGTAGGGGCTGGGTGGAGGAAGTATGGGTGGAAATGAGGCATTAATGTACACTTAATGGGCCAAGTTTGTAGCCTGTTGTCTTGTCAATGCCCCTACTACTCATAAAAGGAGGCAGAGAAGGGAGCCTGGGGAGTGCGGTCTTGTTTGGGAGGTCTAGGCTTTGAGAGTACAGAAAGAATGAACCCAGCACGTAATGTCCTCAAGGAGCCCCTATTTTAGATCATCGCTGTCTTAAAAAGGATTAGTAATTAGTTCTGTAAGGACTGCCCTTTAAAATCTCCTAACACTGTCTGCCTGGTTTCAGAAGAGCTGTAAAACGGAATTTGCTGTTTTTTGGAAATAGGTAGCCTCAAAATATCTTTTAAAATTAATATTTAAGCCCTATTTTCTTGTCAGCCTACATTAACACTTCTGTACTTACTTTACTTAGGAAGTAATACACGTTACCTTTGGATAAGGGGAAAATCTATATAAAATAACTTGTTTTAAACTGTTGAGGTAAATAAGGTTTACTGTGATCTTCTGGTATGTCTCATGCTTGTTGGAAGTTGTTCAAATTAAGTAAAAATTTAAAAAAATTAAGAGTTCAAATTAATGGTCCAAATCTAAAATGTGCAATTTAATTTACTTCTAAGAAGACTGGTCCTTTGGAGGATAGATAGAATCAAACATTGGTCATGAAACCTTGACTTCATAGATTATCATATCAGATCAGTGTTACGTTAATTTGATAAATACAACTTTAAAAGATTTCATACCAGTTTGAAAAATCTGTAAATTTTATCTGTTGCAAAGTACCTATTTTTGATATTGGGCCTATTGACAAAAATATGAAGCTAATGTTAAATGTGGCATATGACTGTTCTTGTCCTCTAGAGATTTAAAAAAACAACCAAAACCCAACACTTGTACCAGAATTAATTTAATCCAAAATGCTATTGGTCATTTTATTACTTATTCAGTTTGCCTATATTGTCTCCAGGTTACTAACTGGATTCTAAACCCCCAAAATTATATTAAAAACAGCCTTTTTGTAGGAAAAGGGGCTAAAGGAGGCAAAATCTGTTTGACTTCAAAGGGTGAAGAAATCAAAATCAAATACTACATCTTCGCTCATTTTTTACTTGGTTCTAAGTTTGAAATGTTAAAATAAGATTAGAGAGGATGAATCCTGATCAGTTTTGAAAACTGACAATCAGTCCATTCAGATCCTCAAGTCTAATCAAACCTGTAATTATTTGTGTTACTTGATTCTTTGAGTAAATATTTTAGCATCTATTTGGCCATAACAAGAGCAAAACAAGCATATTGGTTAGCTAGATATAAAATGTTAAATTGTGGTGAATGCTGTAAAGAAAAAGCGGGGGACAGAGTAGTATTTATAACATTCTTTACATGAAGGACCTGTTTAATGGTGATTTTAAGTGGCATTTCATACTGATTTCATCTGAGTAAGAAGTCCTCCTTGCTGGGCAGAATAGGGTTTAGAAAGGTGAGCGTTGTTGCTTTCACCCATCCTTGTAAGTTGTTTAGTACATTGATACCAGACCACTAGATCACATTACTGCACTTGCCATCCGAAGTGGCCTCTGTACTTTCGGTTACCAACTCTGCCTTTTATGCTACATGATTTGATACATTTTTGTTTGTTCAAAAATTTTGTACCTTTTAATTTTTATTGGGAAAGGGGGCTGTAATTTGAAGAGCCTATTAATTACATTTAATTAACCTATTACATTTAATTAATTACACTTATTTTCTAAGGTAAAGGGTACAGAAGAACATAACAGGAGTAAATAATGTAAGAGCACAAATTACTCTATGTTATTAACTAATGCTCCTAGAAGTAGGTAGTATCAGCATTTTAATGTGGAAACTGAAATACAGAGCAGTTAAAGGACTTCTCCAATAACTGAGCAATGATGAGTTATGATGAGGCTTTTGTATTTTTTTTAACTATATGCTAAAAACATTTTTTTAATGTTGGAGATTTAAAAGTCTGTACCTCTGGTGAAAGAAATCGGAATTTACATTGTTTAGGTATGTGGCTCTTAAGTCACATTTTGTGGCCCTGGGAAAACTTTTCATTAACTTTTTTTTTTTAATTTTGTTATGTTAATCACCTTACATTACGTCGTTAGTTTTTGATGTAGTAATCTATGATTCATTGTTTGCATATAACACCCAGTGCTCCATTCAGTAAGTGCCCTCTTTAATACCCATCACCAGGCTAACCCATCCCCCCACCCCTCTCCCCTCTAGAACCCTCTGTTTTTCAGAGTCCATAGTCCCTCGTGGTTCGTCTCTCCCTCTGATATCCCCCCCTTCATTTTTCCCTTCCTACTATTTTTTTTTTAACATATAATGTATGTTCAGAGGTACAGGTCTGTGACTCAACAGTCTTAAAAAATTCACAGCGCTCACCATAGCACATACCCTCCCCAGTGTCTATCTCCCAGCCACCCGGTAGTTCCCTTGATTTAAACTGTTATGCTATACATCAGGTTGGAATTCAGAAGCATACTTGCTTGGGTTCCACTGCGCTCTAAGGAAAAGCAACAGTATTTATGGTCAGGGAGTCTTCTTCCAATATGGAATTTGTTTACGTATAGTTGAGTGATGGCTCCTAAGCTTTTTGTCTGGGGTGGGTGGGTGTGTGTGTAATTCCCCTCCCCCTCATGTGAATAAATTGGTTTTGTTTGTTACTGCTGGTTGAATTTTCAACGGATTTTCACTCCAACCCAGGTATGTTTATGTGCTTTTGGATGAGATGATAATCTAGATAATGAGCTCCCTTGGACTAGAAGGTATGTGGTGTTCTCAAATAGGAGTCCATTTTGCTTGGGACTCTTAAGAAGTCAGTTCCAAGTTGGCTATTGACACCCCAGAATTGAAAAAGTGAGCGTAAAGAATAGGATATTCTAACTATGAGGTTGTGTTGGAGCCAAATAAAGTATTGAGCCCCTGGACCACTGAAAACATTATTAATAGAACAGCAGTGTCTTAAAAATAGATTTACTTAATTTGGCGGGAGATGTGAGGTCTCAGGTAAAGGGAAAACTTATCTTTGGGTTATTATTGGTTCCCTTGAACTCTTTAAAACATTTGTAATTTTTAATGACTGGTTGTTTCCCCACGAAGTAAGTCATTTTATGTAAAGGAATATCAGCTAGTGTATTGCTGTATAATCTATGTAATAGTAGGCTGATAGAGCAGGTACTTTGGTTTTTGGGATGATAGTGGACTCCACATGGGTTTTGGAAGTCAGATTTTAATTACTAGGTTCTTACCATTTGTGTGTTGCTGAGCAAGTTGCTTAGTATTTTATCTGCAGATAGGAGGAAAGCCTGTAATAGTCCCTTACTGAGTAGGCTTCATAAGTGTTAGCTTTCTTCTCATTAGTTCTCAGGAGAACTTACTCAGAGTCAGGTTTTCTGGAATGGCGGGAAGCTTTTGATAACACATGTCTGGACATCTAACTACTACGAGAGCACAAAATATAATCAGTTTGTGGTTTGATTCGGTGACTTGTTTCCACTTCTTCAGTGGAAGATTTCTTTTTGTGTACAAGTTCTCAGGTTTAAGATTTGCCTTCAGTCACATTATGAATCATGTCTTTGAGATCTTCTGCACATTACATATACTGGGTAATGAATTCACTCTTTTATTATAGAGTGATCTTTTTATTTCTAGTAATGCTTATCCTTAAACTATTTTTTGATGTTAATACAGTGATACCAGCTTTCTTTTGGTTAGGGCTATATTTTACTTGGAAACTATATATCCTTATGTTATAGATACCTTTCTTATAAATGGGATGTAGTTGGATTTTCTTAAATCCTGCCTGACACTTTTTAGTGGGAGCCTTTAGTTGATTTACCTTCACCGTTGACTTCCTGTTGTGGTAGTTTTAATTTTTTAACGCACTACGCGGTGATACTTAAAAATGTTTATTTAGATATATGCAGTTATCCTTTTTGCCCCTCATTTCTTCTTGGAAATTAGTTCTTCTATTTGGGATCACTTGCCTTCTGCCTGAAGAATATACTTAATAGAATTTATTAGAGTGCTGGAGGCGTTTTTTCCAGAAAACCTGTTTCACATTCGTTCTTAGAAGATGTTTTAATTGGGTATAATATTCTAAGATCCTTGGCTATTTTCACCACATTGAAGACTCTCTTGTCTTTTGGTGTCTATTGAAGAGAAGATAGCTAGCTGTCTTTTATAGCTTTAACCTGAGTCTTTTCTCTGTGATTTTCAGGTGACTTCTTTGTCTTTAATGTCTTGCCTTTTCACTGATATATCTAAGTGTAGGTTTCTTTTTTATTTATTCTGATTGGGATTTGTAGGGCTAACTCCCATCAGTTCTGGTGGGATTTGTAGGGCTATCTTCCATCAGTTCTGGAAAATTCTTAGCTTTTGATTTTTTTTCAAATATTTTGTGCATTCTCTCCTCTAACTCCTAGAACTTGTATTAAATCTTTGTTAGACTCTATTGTATCCTCAAATATCTTTTAACATTAGTGTTTTCTCTCTTTTAGTCTCTGCCATATTTTGGAAGATTATTCTAAGCTTGCATCCCTCGCTTAATTATCTTTCCAGCTGTGTTTAGTCTGCTGATAAACCTGCTCATTTGTTTGATTTACATTATTTTTATTTCTCGAAGTTCTATTTAATTCTTTTTTTTTTTTTTTTAAGATTTTATTTATTTGAGAGAAAGAATGAGAGAGAGAGAGAGAGAGAGCACATGAGAGGGGAGAAGGTCAGAGGGAGAAGCAGACTCCCTGCCGAGCAGGGAGCCCGATGCGGGACTCGATCCCGGGACTCCAGGATCATGACCTGAGCCGAAGGCAGTGGCTTAACCAACTGAGCCACCCAGGCGCCCAAGTTCTATTTAATTCTTTGCTAAATTTGTTGTATCACCTTTAATAGATGGCTGTTCTTTGCAGATGCTTCTGCAGACACTGTATTTTCAAACTCAGTAAGCATGGTTGTCATTTGTCAGTGTTTATGTTTATAAATTTACAGTACTTTTGACAATATTTAAGTCTTTGGGACAGATTTTTGTTGTATTTCTGTTGCCCTTATTGCTCTTGAAAACTACTTGTATAAATTATTGGAGGTCTAGGATGAAGGTGCCTTTCACATTTGGATATGTAGGTGCTTAGGAACACTATCAGGCAGACCATTTTAAGCTCATGGCTTGAGGTTTTGGGACAACACTGATAAGTGATTTCTAGTTTATTTGTCCAAGAGAACTGGTTTATTATCCCTGAGAATATAGCACTTGGGGGTTCCTGCTTAATGTGGAGGGTTGCTGTAAAGATTTCCCATCTTGGATAGGTCTGGGGCTTTTGATTTTACCTCGGTAGTTAAAACCTTGCTTTTAAGATTTTAGCAAATATTTATTTTGGACTTGGAATTATTTTATACAGAGTTGGTTTGCATAATTTAGTTTGTCACTACCAGGAACGGAAATTCTTCATATCTCTTAGAAAGCAATTTCATGTCTGATAAATAAAAATTCTCATTGGTTTTATTTAATGTTGAGTGCAGTAAAAAACAAAAACAGAAAACTAATGGAGGTATTAACTGAAATCTGTGTTTTCTCATTGTGATCTGATTGTCTGAGAACCACGTGCCTCAGGGGCTGGATTTCTTGTTTAGAATGGAGATTTTTGGGTCCACTCTCAGACCTCTTGTTTCAGAATCTGGGCATGGGAATTAATCTCTCTCTTTTAAATGAACTTACTTGTAATTTTAGATTTATAGAAAAGTTGTAGAGATAACTCCTGTAGAGTTCCCATGTGCCCCTTACCCAGTTTTCCTTAATGTTAACATTTAACGTTACCATGGCACATTTACTGGTTAGTCTATACATTTTAACAGTCATCTCAGCTAATTATTTTGCAGAAATATTGACCCTGTGCTAAGATAATTAAAAACAGAACTAAAAAGCTTGTTTATTTGAACGTTCAGTAGTTATCAAACACAAGTTAAGTCTTTTATGAATTTGCGTCTTAACAAGAGCAATCCAATGAAGAAACAGTTTTTTTGTATTTTTGTAGATGGTGAATAAGACCAGAAGTTGTTTGCCTGAGCTAGATTTTTACAAAGCTGGTGTCAACCCAAATGATCTGACTACAAAATTAGGCCTGCTTTAAAAAACGGAAGTGTGTATAGCCAAGAAATCTAATTTAGCTAGAGTGGGCAGGGCAGATTGGAGAGGGTATCTCTGAAGAAGTAAATGCCATCCTGTTCTGTCTTGAATCATCTTTAATAAAGAGTCAAAAGAATTTTATATAAGAGTTTGAATTCTAAATGTGACCCCATGAAATGAACAGGGAAGGTCGCAGTGTAGCCTTTCTTCTGAGTACATGTTAAAATGTTAGAAAAATCTGAATTTAAAAGTTTTTGGCGGGAGTTTTTTATTTTTGATAATTGCTGGACTTACTAGACTGTATTCAACCGAGCAAGTTCCAAAACGTTAGCAAAATGTACTTGTATATGGGAAAGCCAAATAATGCAGAATGAAATGTAAGTTCTCATTTCTCCCAGTCTTTTCTTACAGGTGATTACTATTAGGTTTCTGGTGTATCTGTACAGAAATGCCTTATTCGTAAAGTGTGTGCATGAGCATGCATGTTCATATATGTATATGAAGGATGCAAAGATGTGGCAGAATATATATATATAGATAGATAGATAGATATAGATATATTCCTGTCCAGATTGGATTTTGCCATAAGCCCTGTGCTTTTTCATATCTGCTTCATTTTTTGCTGCAAAGCATTTCATTGTATGCACATTCCATGCTAATACTGAATTTATTTTTGATGAGATAAGTACTTGTAGCTGCTCTCTCTATCTATAAGCTTTATGTATTACTGCTCTGAAGGATGCAATGCAGCGATTGGCAAAAGCACATATAATCCCTGTAATACGAATCTTGTGCTGTGATTAGTTGGGAAAGATAGAGCTTAGTCAAATAATCACACTAATTTGTAATTACAAACTTGAGACATCTTACGATGGAAAGAAATGGGGCTTTATAGGTGTGTATAACCAAGAAATCTTATTTAGCCAGAATGTACAGGTTGGAGAAGCCTCTCTGAAAAAGTAAAGCTTTGAGCTAAGAGCCAAAGGTTATGTTAACTGAATTTTGGAAGAACCTTCTAGGCAAACATGAAAAGCATAAGCCTTTAGATTCATAGTATTTTTTTTCATGTTAGAGGCTCACAAGTGAATATAACTAAAGCTGGAGATACACACATTTAAGGTTTTTGATATTACTATGGCCAAATTAGTCTCCAGAGAGAAAATAGTTTATAGGAACACAAACCACATTTAAGAATGCATGTTCACCACCGTTTTCCCTGCATTGAAAGAAGAACCTTGCTGATTTGATAGACAAACTAGAATTCCACTTGCATTTCTTTGATGATTAAGATTCAATATTTTTATTTTTGAATTAATATTTCTTCATAATTGTTTGCTAAGTATTTTGTTAATTTTGTAAATTACCCAGCATCACCAGAAAAATTTATCAGTGCTATTAGAAATTATTTAAAGCAAAAAAAAAATTTAAAGTAGAATAGGATACATTATTAGGAAGAAATATTTTCTTCACAATTTGTTCAAAGGATGGATGTTAGATCAGTAATAATATTCCACATATTAGCACTTGACTGCTGAAATCAGTAACTCTTCTTAACTATTCAAGTAATAATCATATAAAACATGTTGAGATGAGGAATCACATCTTGTAGCATTCTGAGAGTTACTAATAGTCTGTGGTTTTAATTACTAAAAGATAAAAACTTGATTTTAATGTGGGATCCTAAGCTTGATTTAGATTATTTTTTTTGGTAGTCTGTGCATTCATTACATGTGGCATTAGTCATTTTCCTGCCTGAATATAACACGTTTTACCTTCAGTTTTCTTTTTCTAAAAGCAGTATTCTCTAAGTCAATACTAATCTGTCTATAGTGGGAAAGAATTTAGGATATTCTCCAGATCAGTTCTAACAGTATTGATGTCAGGTAACCAAGTTTGTTGACAATATGACAGCATATCCAGGGTAACCTGGGGGTGTGGTCCTTACCTGTGATAAAACATGTACATTTGAAGAGATGGGGAAGGTTTACTTGATATAGATTGGGACCCAGAGCTTTAAAACTGTCATTAAGTTGCTTAAAGGACTGACATTTGGTAGGATTATTAAACTTTTTAGAAAGATCTCCAGAGGCATAATGGTGGCAGATTTTGGCTTTTTAACATGAATTTGGTAAGAATTAATACTGGTAAAAATGAAGTGGGTTCTGTGAGGTACTAAGTAGTCTAAAAATTTAAGCAAAAATTGACCATTTGTAGTTGTTAAAGGAATTTGAATAACTCTTGTATTGTTCCTTTTCTGTGATACTAGCATACATCAGATTCTTTACCAGCAGTGCTATTATGAAAAAATGTCCTTACATGGTAGATTCTAAAAGCCTAGTAATAACTTGCTTATTTTTAGCAGTATCCTCTGAAAAATTACTTTGGGGGCTAGTATGAAAGTCCATATACATGTGCCACGATTTTTCTTCTTAACATTGATGTATTTTTAATGGGGGTATACATTCCTCCGTGTGATGATTCTCAGTGTGTTACTGATTTAAAGGGTTTGGGCATCAAATATTTTTAATGGTTTTAAATACATTATACATGTATATTTTGTTAACACTGACATTTCTCTCCATAGATATTTGGAATTCTTACAACATGGCAGACATTGACAAGTAAGTGCTAGATAGTTGGTTTTTTTGTTTGTTTTTTTTCTTTTCCCAGAGATTTGGCTTCACTTTGTTCTGTGATGTAATTAATAGTCATAATAATAACATATTATAAAAATGTATGGTAAAGACTGATGCTTAGTACCTGCTGTTAGAATAGTTGGGTACAGTGTATCCAAGATAAAATATAGTATATATAATCATTGTCTTAAATACAGTAAACCATTTGCCAGTGTTTATTCTTAGGAATGTGCTGAGCACAGTAATGAATCAGAAATATTTGCAGAATTCATTTTTACCATACATGTATGGTAATTACTACTTCCGTATTAGGGTGTCATACATACAAGATAAAAAGTATATGAAATCTATATATAGAGTTTAAAGAGTAATAGGATACTTATAATTTATGAGTTTTTAAAAGTAAAACATTACTATTAGAAGCCCAGTGTCCCTCTTCTCCATTGCATCCTCCAACTTTCCTCTCCAGACGTGTAAGCACTGTCTTGGCATTTGTCTAAATCATTCCTTTTTTTTTTTTTTTAAGAGTTTTAACACCTGCACATTAAACAGTGTTTAATTTTGAAAATCTGAATAGCAGTCACAAACTTAGCTGTGTTTAAAAAGAAAAGCAGTATTACCACTATCAGTTGAAGTCTCTAAGGTAGGAAAAAAAACCAAAATCAAAAAGATTATCTGGGTCACAGTCTAGCTTCAACTTTCCTGAAGAATTTATTGGGCAAGGTCATACACTCTAGAAAGATCAGTTTAATAAAGTTGACTTCTGGCAGGGTTCTAGTGTGGATGGATGTTTTGCAGAAATACGGTAAGGGAGAATGGGTGAGCTGCATTGTTTGTTGCTTATGATTTCACACAACTTAGGGGTAGGTTAAAACAACACTTGGACATGGATTTAGGGGTACGATACGACCATCCGCAGGTTGTAGGCAGCAGAGCATGGAGGTGGGAAGGCAGGAAAATTTAGCACAGGGGCATCACATTCAAGTACATAGAAGAATTTGGCTAATTCTTCCATGCTTAAAAAGAATGGGAGCAAGTATTTTAGTGTTAATGGTTTTCAAAGTGATTGCCTCCTTTATTACTGCTCCAATCTGGATTGCTTAACCTTGATTATATAGCTATCATTGTGGTTCTATTTTATTATCTTCCTGGGGTTTCCTTTTGCTGCTTCTCTTGGGTTTGCTATTTGCTGTATCCCATGTAATTTTCTTTTTTGGTTCTTTAATACTTTCTTGGAAGAGTACAAGGGAAACAAATTATTTTGAGATAAATGACTGAAAATGACAATTCTATCCTTATGTTTGATAGTTTGAGTGTAGAATTCTCATTTGGGAATCCTCTTTCTTCAGAATTTTGAAGGCATTGCTTCATTACCACCTGGCTTCCAATATTGCTGTGTTGAAGTTCAAAGTCATTATAATTCTTGATCATTGTATGTGACACTTTTTGTTTTAAACATATATATTTCTGGAAGCACTCTGGCTTCAGAGTTCTGAAATTTTCACATTGTTTATATGTATTTTTAAAATTTCTTGTGTTAGGCATTCAGTGGTGGGCCCTTTCAGTCTGGCAACTCGATGGCTTTCAGTTCTGGGGAATATTCTTGACTTATTTTGTTGATTGTCTTATTTCCGTTTTCTCTTTCTGGACCTCCTATTATGTTATATGTTGAACTTGTTCTTCTAATTATCTTTTGTCTTATTTTCCATCTTTATCTCTTTGCTCTTCTTTCTGGGCAAAGCTGAAGAAATTTTATCTTTCAGCTCTTGTATTGAGTTTCTAAATTTCTGTTGTATAGTTTTCAGGAGTGTCTTTATTCTCTGTTCCTGTTTTTTATAGCATCTTGTTCCTATTTCATTGATTGTAATGTCTTTTCTCTGAATTGTAATATCTTTTCTCTGGATGTTTTTTCCCCTGTATGTTTGCTCTTAAATTTTTCTTTCCCCTATTTGTTTTCGTTTCCATGTAAAAGCATTTTCTCAAATAGGAGGTAATACTTGGTTGTCTGCTCACTAAGATTGGGGTGGGGGAGAACATGCAGTTGAGAGATGTTTAAGAAAAAAGTTGATTAGAGAATTTGAGTGTTGTGGGGTGGAGGGAGGCCTTTAATTTAGATTGTAATGTAAGGTCATCAGGGTGCTTGTTTATTGTGAGAATCCCCATTGTCAGAAGGATGTTTTTTTTCTGGGCTGGTCAGATACCCCAAGGAAGAGTATCTGGGTAAAGATCTGGCTTTCAGTGTTGTGGAATCCAAATTGGGAAAAGGTGGCCAGGGAAGGGTCTCTCCATTACATTCAACATTCTAGCGTGATACAGTCCTTATATCTGAGAGACTTTGGGCTGTATCTGTGGTCTTATAGTCTGAGCTCTTAGTTTAACCCTTTCCAAAGAAGAAACTGCTATGCTGCTGGATTGAGGGAGAGAATCTTGGGGATTTAACTGCTTTATCAGTTTTTGTTTAGTCCTCCCTATTTTCTCCCCCAGCCCAAATTCCAGAAGTGTCCTTTTTGATTCTGTGTTTGGTCTAGTTTTCAGCTTTTCCGACTGTTATAGATTTCAGTTCTCAATGACGTTGCTGTTGCTGCTCTTGTCTTCCTGTCCTTTAATGTTTGTCTGTTTAAAAAACCCTTTTATCGTAATTTTAGTAGAGATTTTGGAAGGATTACGATCAGAGGAGTATGTGCAATCTGCCATCTTAACCTTGAAACTTCATTTTGTTTTAAACTTAAAAGAATAAATTGGTTGTGACCGCTTGATTCCCCACCATCCCCTTATTTAATTTTAGATGGCTGTCAGCCCTAGGAGGGTGGGAGGGAGGGAGGATTCTTGCTCCTTAAAGGAGGAGTCAGCAGACTTTCTGTATAAATGACCTGATTATAAATATTTTAGGCATTTGGGGCCATATAGTCTCTGTTGCAGTTACTCAACTCTGCTGTTGTAGTGTGAAAGCAGCCATGGACAGTACATAAACTTACGTGGCTGTGTTCCAATAAAGTTTTATTTACAAAAATAGTGGGCTGTATTTGACCATGTGACATAGTCTGTGGACCCCTGTTCTAAAGCCTTAAGATGTAGATGTTCATTAAATGATTAAAATCACACTGGAGGAACAGCTGTGCTATGTGATCTTTAGTTAATGGCCCTTAAATCTAAGTATGCTTAAGTTTATACTAAATCAAAGATAATTTCAGAAACAGTCTATTGTTTCTGACGGGAAGGCTGAGTTTTTTCTCCTTAGTTTACAGGAACATAAATTTTGCTGGCAGAATACAGTTGACCTTTTCTGTATTTGTTCTTATATGAAAATTAGATAGTATTTGTCTCTATATGAAAGTTAATTCTTCAGATGCTATTTCTAAACATAAACGTGACTAAATCTGTAAACCAAATACTAAAATGTAAAATCACACAAGGAATTATATGAAGACCTATATGTTGACTTAGATAACCTTATTTTCCCTTTTTAATTCTCATTGTAATTTCATGTGCAAAAACTAGATTTTTAAGATGAAATGGGGAGAGTGTTATCTTACTACTTTTTTCCTTTCAATGGTGCCATCCTCCTGGCTTTGCTCTCAGTATGAAGTAGACTCACGTCTTAACTTTTTGCCCATCTCCACTATGAAGTAAAGAAAAAGGAGGAAAGTCCAAAGATAGTGAGTACAGGCTGATGTGATTGCCCCATAGCCATCAGGGATCCAGGATCCTTGTTCTTCCAAACTCCCTTCATTCTGTTGACTTTCATTCTCTAGGATGCCTCCTGGTCCAGCATGGCTGTTGGAACTCTAGTCATCACATCCCTATTCTGTGAAGGGAGCAAGATCAAAAAGGCCTCCCAGCTGTCCACTGTCCTATAAAGGAGGCTTACTCAAAATTCTATACATTTTGCTTTTTTAACTCATCATCCAGAGTTACATAACCACACCTAGCTAAAAGGTAGGCTGGGAAATGTAGATTTTTAAAAGCTTGGTATATTGCCATCTCATATAAAATCAGGGTGCTGTTACCAAGAAGAGTGAAAGCAGTGGATATTGGGTAAAGAGCACATACTTCCTCACCTCACGTTCCGGGAACCAACACTGTCAAACCACATTTTTAAAGCTTGGTTGGAATAGAGGGGCCCCTGCTGGCTCAGTCGGTGGAGCATGCAACTCTTGATCTTGGGGTGTTACATTCTTAGTTTGAGCCCCACATTGGGTTTAGAGATTACTTAAAAATAAAATCTTGGGGGAAAATTAGCTTAAAATGGAAATTTTATATTTGACCATGTGCTTTTAAATGAAATTTTACGTACTTCCAGTTTGTGCTTGTTTATATATGAAGTTAGAAAGAAAACTGAATTACCTTTGGAATTTTCCTATTTCATATTTTTGAAAGAGGCATATTAACCTAGAAAATGAATTGAAGTTTTTTATAATTTTTTATCTATTTTTTGGTAATTGGTACATTTGAACCTTGGTGTGATACTATGATATTGTAGCAAAGAACAGTCTGAACTTGATCAAGATTTGGATGATGTTGAAGAAGTAGAAGAAGAAGAAACTGGTGAAGAAACAAAAATCAAAGGTATTACTTTAAATTACTTCAGGAGCCAGTGATTGCTGGCACATGTCTTCTAGAGGGTAGTAACAAATACTGTTTCCTTTTGGATCCTTGTCTAGACACTTTACCCATGCGACCCATACCTCTAGTTCAGTAACAATTTGTGTATGTTGGGGTGGGGGGAAGAAAGGAGGGGAAGAGGGAGATGGAGATAGAGTGGTAATAAGGGAGGAAGGTATGAATATAGTTAGTGACCTATCAGAAGTTACTCTGTATGCCTTCTAATGCTGGAGTGACATGGCATAACTGTGTCAAACAGCTGCCCATGAGTTTTGTCTGAATTTAGAAATGTTACAGGTGTTGGTGGGAGTTGTTTTTGGTGGTCGTTCTAAACAGCTTAGACTTACTGGAAATATTCAGTATTTCATATGTAGAAAACATTTGTGTATTTCAACCTCTTTTAATCCTTCCCACCCAGATGACAAAAAAGACATTTATTAAATGTAAACAAAAATCACTCATACTTTTTTTAGCAAATAATTGTAAAGGGTGAGGTGTAGTGATGGTAGGGGGGGAATTGTACTGCTTTAGGTTATGCCCTATAGGTATGGGCTGAGAATATTAAAGTACTAGATGACTGAGCTTTCCATTGTTAAGTCAGAGGGAGATTAATTGTGAAAAGACTACTGAACTTTAGCTTCAGCTTTCATCTTGCAGCATTGTCTTAAAAGATACAGAGGTCGGTATCCTTAGTGGCCAGTATTGACATTTCTAAAGGCATGTTGGTTATCATAACTGTACATCATCCAGTAATCAAATTAATATTAGGAATTGACCTTTAAGAACATAACTGGGAAAATTCATGTCATTTTTGTGTAATGTCTGTTGACGAGGAGATGATAATAGCAAAATAATTTGTTTTGCCTAAATCTGGTTTTGGATTGAGTATAATTTTTAGACACCATTAACAACCACGTTTTGTTTGGCTTTAGTTACAACCTTGATTGTCTCAACTATTAACTTTATTCTGATAAACAGAAATATACTATACTATAAACATCAAACAAACATTTAGGTTACTCCACAGTCTTTCTCCCAGGGTGGAAACTGTCACTGTACTTCCGATAATGTGTTGTCTGCCTTCAAAGTGTTAGCTAGAGTCATAGGTAGGCATCTGGGTGAAGCTTTGAGCTTCTTAAAAATGTAAGGTGGATGAAACACAAGACAGTAGGAAGAGAAAGGATATTTATTGTTAATAGTAGTTGTGGCAATGGTCTTCAGAAATGGCGTGTGTTAAGATCATTAGGAATCTGAACTTTTCCTGAATGTCAGGTTTTCTTAGAGTGGATTTTCCTCAGCTTGCTGCCCATCTCTACTCAGACCAATGAATTATGGGCTAGTCAGGAAACCTTCATGATTGGATTGTCCTATTAAAATAGCATAATATATTTTCATAAAATCCTTTCGATGCCCTTTTTTTTTTTTAAGCGCGTCAGCTGACTGTTCAGATGATGCAAAATCCTCAGATTCTTGCAGCCCTTCAAGAAAGACTTGATGGTCTGGTAGAAACACCAACAGGATACATTGAAAGGTACAAGTTCTTCTTTTCTGTAGTCCTTATTTAGCCTTCTGTAATCAACATTGCAGGTGTATCTTTTTAAGACCATCTAGGACTTAGATATGTAATAGTGGAAAGCTAATGTCTGTTAGTATCTAGTATAGGATTTTTGGGAATTTAAAAATTTTGCTGAGTACCACCAATTTAGAGTTGGTGTTTTGAAGTTTGACTCCTCTCCACAGGAAAAGTACACTGATCTTAACCATTTCTGAGATTTGTTTGGAGGTTTGCTAGAAATGCACAGAATTAGAAGAAATACAGATTTCTTATTTATTTCACTGGTCCTATGAATCATTTGCAATAGCCCGTATATCTTATTCTGCTTATAATTGTTATGATTTTAAGAGCCATCCATGTTGCTATCTGTATGTAATCTCTCATCAGTAGTTTTTAGCTTCTGAATGTTGTCACTTACAGTGATTTGTGTCCACCATGTTTTATTACATGCTTTTTTTAATATGCTTTTTCTTTGATGGGTATCTTGATTGCTTCTAAGCTCCATCAACACAAATTCCGTTGTAATGGTCCTCTTTTCGCATGCCTTCTTAAAGAACTGTAAGAATTTTGGGGGGATATGTATTTACTGGTGGGATTGTTAGTTACAGGGTATGCAAGCTTTTAGTACTTCTCAGCTTGCTTTCTAGAATGACTGTCCAATGCATGAAGGCAACCTTCATCCTTGTATCTCTGCCAGCAGTTGGCATCATTCAGCTTTATGGGTTTTTTGTTTTTACCAATCTAAGAGGTGCAGGCTTATTTTGTTTTATTTGTACTTTTGTTGTCTAATGAGTTTTGAGCTTTTCTTCATCATTGTGAGCCTTTTAGGTTGCTCTCATTGTCCATTTTCCTACTGGGGTTTACCGTCTTGTTTTGCAGGAGTTTTTGTATATTGAAGGTGTTAATCTCTTACCAGTTTTAGACTTTGTAAGTAATCTATTGTCATTTTTATTAACTTTATCCATAGCATTCTCCCTTAAACAGAAGTCCTTAATTTCTGTGTTTTAAGTTTTTTGACCTGTGGTTTATTCTTTCAAGTTCAGAAGTCCTTCCTAGTTCCTTCTGCATTTCCTGTTGACTAGTTCTTTCATCTTTAGGTCTTTAATAAACCCTCTTGAGGCCACCTTTGTATTTAGCTATGCATCAGGGGTTTTTTTTGTTTGTTGGTTTTTTTTTTTAGTGAGCTTATTTTTATAACACTTCACTAAACAGTTCATTATTTCCTCATTTATTTGTGATACCACCTTTATTGCATATCACTTTCTTATAAACACCTATGTTTGTCTTTGAGCAGCACTCTTTTTAATATGGCTTTTTAGTATGTCTTAATATCTAGCAGGGTGATAATTTAATCTTTCTATTAATTTGTTTCTCCCTGTAATAGCTTGCTTTCTTCTACCCTTCCCCCCTCCCCTATGGAATACACTCTTAAGATTGGCCTAATTATATGTAGACCTTTATCCCACATATGGTTGATAGTAAGTTTAGAGGGGTTTTCACAAAACAAAACAGGCCCCCCCCCGCACTAAAATTTTGATAGGAGTTACATTGAATCTATTGATTAACATGGATAGGGGATTTTTCTTTTAATGTAAAATTGTCTCATCCATATCCTTGTATTTATTGAAATCATACTCTTTTATTACAAAATTTTTCTCATAGTCTATTCTTGGTTAATTCCTGTATACTTTAGTTCTGTTGCTATTGTGGATAGTATCTTTTTTTTAATTGTATTATCAGGTTGGCTGTTGTTGATGTAGAGAAGAGTGCTATTGATTTATTTTCATTTTTTATTTCTTTTGCTGTTGATCTTGTGTCCAGAAACCTTGCTACACTTACTATAGTAATTTTTTCTTCTCCCAAAGGCAGAAGATCTTGTCTGCAAATAATGGCAGTTTGAGCTCTAATCTTTCACATTACAGCACACCAAGTTTATTTGTATTTCATTATAACATTGGCCAGGACTTTCAGTACTGTGTTAAACAATTAGCATTAAACATGAGCATCTTTATCTTATTTCTAGTCCTAACCAGGAATGGATATAAAATCTTGCCATTAAACTTGGTGTCTGCTTAGATTTATTATGACCTTTTTTTCTGTATGTATTCAGACAGTCTTTTGACTTTTTCTTCGACTCTGTTAAGTACATACTAAATATATTTTTGGAAACATGATACTAAACTAGCCTTGCATTCCTGGAATAAATTTAATCATATATTATTACAGTTAAGTCAAGTAGTTAATATCTTTTTCAAGGTCCTTATTTGTTAGTGAAATGTACTTGAATATGTGTGCCTGTGTGTGTGTGTGTATGTATATGCATGTGTGCATGTATGTACAATATAGAAACTTCCATGGGATGGTAATTCCATGCCCTGGTTTTAGAGTCAAGATTTCAGCTGCTTAATGAATAAACAGGGTTGCTTTACTTTTCCCCGTTTTCAAAGCAATTTGTATAGGATAGGAATTCACTGTTCTTTGAACAGTTGGTAGAACTCTTCTAAAAATGGACTTTGGCCTTTGGAGTTTGAGAACCCTTCGTTTGGATTTGCTCCATTCCCCTCCAGTTTCTTGAATTGAGGCTTTGTTCATTTGATTTTTTTAAAAATTATCTTTTATGGCCTTAATACTTGTTTTTCTAAATGTTCTATGAAAGTTAAGTGTGAAGATCTATATGTTGAAATTAGTAGCCTAGATTTATTAATTGTGTTGTTCAGGTTCTCTTATTTCTGCTTATTGACTGACCGCTTGATCTAACAGTTTCTGGGTAGAAGTGTTAGAAATTTCCACTTAAATCTGTTTCTCCCTGTAATTCTATTGGTTACAGATTAATATATTTTGAAGCTGTATTATTAGCTGTGTGTGATGTATGTGTCTTGTCCCTTAGTCCCTGTTTACCAGTGTGGTGTCCTCTCTGGTGGTGGTGGTGGTGGTGTAAATTGTTCTGTCTGGTATTAGGATAGCTGTTGCAGCTTGCTTTTGGTTTTTATTTACCTGGCATGTCTTTTTCCATTCTTGTATCTTATCTCTAGTATGGAAGCTTGCTTCTTCATTAGTGATTTTAAACTCTGCCTCCCTTGAAAGCAGTATTGTTTTTGGGCTTAATTGCTATTTTATAATTTATTGTACTTTGTTTCTTTTCTCTTTTTTTGCTTTCCATTAAATAAATGAAGTTGTCTTCTGGTATCAAAGTTACTGCATTCTGTTGTTACTATGTTAAATGGGCTCATAACCTAATACCTAAGTTTATTTACCCATATTGATTTCTTAAATTTAGTGATGTCTGTATTATTTATAAATACACGCTCTCTAGTCCACCTTTTTTTCCATCAAGGCAACAGTAAGATTTACCAAGATATTCGGCCACCTGTATTTATACAGTAATTTCTTAATTTTTTTAACTTTCTCAGAAACTATTTTTAATGAATGTATTGAGTATCTCTGGCATGTTTCCTGAAGCCTGATGTGCCTCATACAATTTTTATTTTGTCTTCATATTTGAATAATAGTTTGGCTTATAAAATTGTAGTACAGAGTTCTTAAATAAAAGTTCATTTCTTCTTGTATATGGTGTTTTCTTTTGAAGCCCGATGTCAAATTCCTTTTCCTGTGTAGGTTTTTCATTGAACACATGTAGGATTTTCTTTGGTCTTTGATATTCATGAATCTCAGTAACCTCTCTGAGGGTTAGAGTAAGGATTTCCATATTACTTTAACTCTGAGAAATTTGTTACTCATTTATTCAGGTATCTCCCTCCCTTCTTTCAGCTATTGCTACTTTTGTCGTCCAAATCATAATTTTTCTGTCTTTCCTGCAGCCTTTCTGGAGAGCGTTTGAACGTTAATGGACTTCCTTAAGTTAAACCTATCCTGTTTATCCTGTTGGTTGGTTGATTTTAGCTACTGTATTTTTCATATTTAATATTTCTACTTTGTTTTAGATTTATTTCTTGGTCTTGTTTCTTCTCTCATCTCTTTAAATATATTTATATTACTTTGTCTAATAATACGGCTTCAGATGATAAATATTTCATTCTTTCATTAAAATTTACACTCCTTAAGGGTTTAGTTACTCTGGCTGTAGAGCTCAGGCTCACTGGTTGATAACAGTTAGTCCCCAGTAATGATTATTGAGGGAGGAATAAAGATCAGACTCTGGCTTGTGACAGTCCCAGTGGAATTTAAGAAAAGGGATTGGAATGAACCTAAGGAGAGCTCCAGTTACTTCAGACTAAGTTTGCTGTCAATTCCAGGCAATTGTTTTTGCTGCTTTTGGGGAGGAGGCAGTCTCCTTTGGTCGTAATCCATTGTACCTGGATTGGCGGGGTGGAGGAATGAGTGCTTGTAGGCTCTCAGCCAGACACTCACTGTTGTAAGGCAAGTGCAGAATTTGAAAAGCTTTCTTTGAGCCTGTCTTCACTGCTACCCATTCTGCCCATTCCCTCCCTTTTCCAGGTTGCAGTTCACTCTGTACAGTTGTTAGTCTTGCTCAGAAGTTGCTCGGAGTATGTGTGTGCTTGTGAGCGTGTGTGAGTCTCTGAAATAGTTGTTTTCTTCTTGGTTCTGAAGTTTCTAGGGTTGAATTTTTCTGAGATACAGTGTGGGGGTGGGCAGCACCCCATGCTATTTTATTACCTTGACAAAACAAACTTCTTACTTTTAATTGTAAGGAAAAAAAATTATCTGCAGATAATTTTTTACTTCTCATTATCTTAACTATAAAGTAGTGGTTAACTAAGAAAATTATTTGATTTACAGCAATCTGCCTATGGCAGGAAATTCTAACCTGGATTCTGTATCTGTTGTACAGATCCCTGAAGTTAGATAAATTTTGAGTGAACATTTTTTGGGTGGTAGGGGGATTCATAAGTTGAATCATAACTCAGGGGCCTATATTACCCTATTGTAAATTGTATGATTTATGAATTATATCTCAAAGCTGTTACGAAAAAATCTCTTCATGAAATACAACATTCTTTTTTTAATATAAATTTAAATTCTAAATAGAGACTAGAATAGAAAATAATGGTGTAGGATACCATCCTTTTTTCTAATATAATATCTTTTCCCTAAAAATAGCTGGTATGGGTGAGATAATGTCTACTTTTTTTTTTTTTTTTTTAATCAAGGTTATTGTCCTTATTCTCAGGATCATCAGTCCATGACCTTTTAACTTCCTAAGATACCGTTTTACAGCTTAAATGCCAGCACTGACAAGTCAAATGCTGAACTTGATTATAATGAAAGATTTAGTGTTGATATGATTTACATTTTCTTATCACAACTTACTGTATCTGTTTAAATGTTCACTTTTGAACTATTTTATAGTCAAGAAGTCCATGTATTTATGTTTCTTGAATTTTAATTACTTCAAATGAGTATACCTTTTACTTCAAATAGGAAACCTATCATTCACTAACTTTTATGCTTTACTTTTCAATATGATAGAAGTGTGACTTGTGTTTTACTGTGATGCTGTGTAACTGGTGCGTTCCAACCTTTCAGCTTGCCTAGGGTAGTTAAAAGACGAGTGAATGCTCTCAAAAATCTTCAAGTTAAATGTGCACAGATAGAAGCCAAATTCTATGAGGAAGTTCATGATCTTGAAAGAAAGTATGCTGTTCTCTATCAGCCTCTATTTGATAAGGTAATGCTTTCTACTGTTTTATTTTCTTTATCTAAAATTTGAGATTATAATAAAGCTCTGGAAACAAAAACAAACTCGCAGGTGGTTTAGTCTTTAGACCTCTCAGCAAAATGGTTATTAGAGGTAATTGGGAAAACTGTCAATAGCAATTCAAGTTGTGGTATGCATTCATTAAATCTATACACATCTTTAATGAGGAACAACTAGTTTCTGGTTTGGATGTTAGTGTTTTTATGCAAGCTTTTTTTATCTTAATCATTTTAGCGATTTGAGATCATTAATGCAATTTATGAACCTACGGAAGAAGAATGTGAATGGAAACCAGATGAGGAGGATGAAATTTCGGTTGGTACCAACTTTATAATTTAGTGTATTTTTATACCTTGGAAATATTTTATTGTAAGATTCATGGTGAGTTAACTATAATCAGAACAGATGAGCCACTGTTAGCCCTGGTACCATCTGTACCCAAATTCATTTTTCCCTTACATTTTTTAGTATTTAAATTTTATAGATTATGTGAACTTTTCCTTTGAACTTGATGATGACCTGCAAAGGATTGTTCTTGTTTTTCACATGATGAAATGGAGGCTTCTAATGACTTGCCTACAATTAATAAATGGCAGGGTTGTGACACAAATACTGTGTTCTGTTACATGACTCTCTTTACCCAGCATTGCTATTTTAATGTTGGTTGATAAGGAGAACATAATGTGTTTTTTTTCCTCTTTAAATTTTTTATTGTTATGTTAATCACCATACATGACATCATTAGTTTTTGATGTAGTGTTCCATGATTCATTGTGCATAATACCCAGTGCTCCACGCAGAACGTGCCCTCTTTAATACCCATCACCAGGCTAACCCAGAGAACATAATGTTTTGATCAAGAACACCAAGGGGTAAGGAATTGGGCAGGGTTTATATTTAATATTTTTTTTCCTGAAGTTTTAAAATGTTTTCCTCTAAAACTTTCCCTGTAGTTCATAGGTTCTCTCTTTGGAGAGGTATGGTAGTAGCAATATGTACAGAAGTACAGTTTGGTATGCGCATAACAGCAGTGTTTACACATTGGACTAGAACTTCATTGATTGAAAGTTGCAATTGGTGATTGAGGATTTGTTGGTTTCTGTACTTCACTGCTGGGTGTAAGTTAAGGGGATGGGTAAGGTTTTATCAAGTGGTCTGATTTAGGAATTCAGTAACATAATGCTGTCATTTATCAAGGAGGAGCTGAAAGAAAAAGCCAAGATTGAAGATGAGAAAAAGGATGAAGAAAAAGAAGACCCCAAGGGAATTCCTGAATTCTGGTTGACTGTTTTTAAGAACGTTGACTTGCTCAGTGATATGGTTCAGGTAATTTTACTCATAAAAACATCAGTTTACCTTAAAGGGTAAAAACCTTTGAAATTTAAATGGCTGGGATGACTAGTCTCCATCATTGACCTCTATAGAATGATTGCTGTCTTTTGAAACCTGTTACCTGTAGAAGGAAAATTGCATCTTTGATTAATAAATTCTAATTCATTTTCAAAAATTAGATAATGAAATGGCCCTTTGACAGTTTATCATTGAGCAGTGTTTTGTCGTAGTCTTATGTCTTCTGTATTTAAAGTGCTTGGTATTAGAGATTGGAGGGAGGAAACTTAAAATTTCATTTCTCTTACCCAAAAAGACCTTTTCAGTCTGAAACAAATATTCCAGGGGACATTTGCATTTTAAAAGAATAACATAAAGATCTTTAACTCTTAAAGTTGTCACTTTTTCTGGGAATCCAATACAGATGTCACTTTCTCCGGGAAACTTTTTGTGTCCTAATCAGAAGCATTTCTTGAGCCACTACTATGTGCATTATAGTACTTGTTGCCTTATAGTGTGATTGTTGAAAGTTAAAGTCAAGAAAAAGAAATCTCAAAACAATGACTGCTTATTGCATTTCTACTTTGGTAAAGTAGGAAAGGACCTAGCAGAACGAAAGGAAGAAGCAGCAGCAGCTGGGAAAGGAAATGTTTTTAAAGCAGACATGCCTGAGTTAGACTTCATTTTATATTCTTCAGCTCATTCAGTCTGATGATGATGTAATTCTCTGTTAAGTCACTTTTTTTCTACCATTGCCAGTAGAAATAAGTAGACCTTATAAGTAAACTAGCTTTAGTATAAGCCATTATCTGGAGAATAATAGGTCTTATGGTTCATAAGTGTTACATAAAGCCTCACTATAAATGTCTCAGCTAAATGTTTATTGTCCAGTAACAGCACACTGATCCTAAAATGCCATGTTAGGTACTCATTTTCATATTTTCTTAATTTGCAGGAACATGATGAACCTATTTTGAAGCACTTGAAAGATATTAAAGTGAAGTTCTCAGATGCTGGCCAGCCCATGGTAAAAGAACTTTGAAATATTTTTAGTTCTGTAACATTAGATGTTTATAGGTAGATACATGGAACTTTCTAAAAAGAGGTGATATTCTAAGCCTAGAGATGGGTGAGAAAGAAGTTAAAATTCATACTTGGTACTCTTTAATTGTTGGTAGGCAATAAATGTTTGGATGTTGGTAATTGTGATATAGAATTTATTCCTTTTCCTCCCTCTGAACATAAAACTTTTTGAAATATAGTAAGTCCTTGATAAAAATAGATAAAAAATAATAGCACCCTAAATACTTACTCTGTCTTAAAAGACATGTGTCTAGGGATTACATAAAACAGAAGATGTTAGAGGGCCCCTTCTTCCCCATGATGAAAGGTCAGCTACTAGCTTCTTCCAAAAACCATCAGTATTTGAAGTATGGGCAAAGCTACTATATAGACTCTTCTATCGTGTGTAGTAAAGTTCCTCTGTCAAATTCGGGTTAGAAGATGATTTAAAGTCCTCTTTGTGAGGATGGAAGGAGGAAAGAGTACTTGGTCAGTTTATTCAGTTGTTCTAACCAATTTTATAAACATGTTACTAAATAGAAATTGTAAGCTGAGCTAAGTTTTATTCAGTTTTATTTTGTCTTGTTTTGCCTTTTTAAACATAATTTGGGGTTTATCTGACCCTTTCCCAGAATAGGAAAGGCATTATCACACCTAGAAGTTTATGTGTTTATAAAAATCAACAGATTGAATTTTACCTATTAAAGCATTAATATATGTGATGTAGGAATTTCATTAGTGTTTATTTTTTTTATTTTTTTTTTAAGAGTTTTGTCTTAGAATTTCACTTTGAACCCAATGAATATTTCACAAATGAAGTGTTGACAAAGACATATAGGATGAGGTCAGAACCGGATGATTCTGATCCCTTTTCTTTTGATGGACCAGAAATTATGGGTTGTACAGGGTGAGTTTAATTTTACTACTTTCACAGAATATTCTTTTTTGTTCTACTTGTGATTTGTGGTATTTGGTATTTCCTAGTGTGTACTTGATACATAGTTTATCTCTAAACATTTCAGGTAAGTGTTTTGTTAGATGAGCGCACCTATTTTCCTGGAATTCTCCTTGGCTTATAGTATTACATTTCTTCAAAGGAGAACACACTTAAATTTATTTATATTGTGAATTTGTGCTAATTGTCAATGTATTTATAGAAAAATGTTTAGAAATAAAATTTTCTCTTTATATTGCTATCGAAAGCATGTGAGCCATTTTTTCCCTCTAAAATTTGTAATTACAAAGTAATATTTGGGGCACTTGGGTGGCTCAGTTAAGCTTCCGACTCTTGGTTTAGGCTCAGGTCATGATCTCACGGTTGTGAGATGGAACTCCGTGTCCCAGCCCAGAGTCTGCTTGAGACTTTTCCCTTCTGCGGCTCCCCCTGCTCACAGGCATGTGCTCTTGGTTCTTCTCTCTCTGGCTCACTCTGTAGAAAATTAAATCTTTTTAAAAAATACAGTACTTAATTAGATAAATCTTCCCTCTTACTGCAATTAAGCATAGTATGATAATTGTGATAGATTCTTCCTTTTGTTTTGCAAGGTGCCAGATAGATTGGAAAAAAGGAAAGAATGTCACTTTGAAAACCATTAAGAAGAAACAGAAACACAAGGGACGTGGGACAGTTCGTACTGTGACCAAAACAGTTTCCAACGACTCTTTCTTTAATTTTTTTGCCCCTCCTGAAGGTAAGTAGTGTTTTCGTTTGGGTATTAATGGTTGTTTTATTATAAGCTTTCTTTAATTTCTTACTCATTTGAATTTCTTTTCTCCATTTTGCAGTTCCTGAAAGTGGAGATCTGGTAAGTTAAATTGTTATTTATTTGTTGAATTGTTCACTATGACATTAAAGAACTGGTTCTCAGAAGTGGGGAGTTGGATAGCTGCTACTCGAATTTTGTTCTGAGGCTTGCAATGCACGGAGAAGACCTTTATGCATCTGAAGTTATTTCATTCAGAATGCCTATAGTGCTTCCCTTGAGAAATGCTGAGAGGCTAAAGGCTTTTCTTTTGAGGCTTGGAAGTATTGTGGGGATTCAGGTTCTTAAGATGATAGTTTTCTTACTGAAACTAGTATGTTTTAAATATATCATTTGTACTACTTATTTACTCAAACTCCTAACCACATTTTGGTTAGAACTCTCTGTATTTGTTATTCCAGTGGAAACATGGTTTCATATTGTGGCCATGTGTTATGTGACCATATAAGCCAAGAGCTGCAATGGTGCCTGTGCACAGCCTGGAATGCTGTGCAGGCAGGATGTAAGCTATGTAGGTTTTGAATCTGCTCTTCTGTTGGCCAGATTTTTTAACTTTAACTCCGATTGTTTAGTAGTTTTATACATACGGAATTAGAATTTATGTTTATTTTGAACACTTTTGAATTGGAGTAGTTTTGGCTAAGGCTAAGACCAGATCTGTAAAAGGCAAGTATTTCTGCCTGTAAAGAGTGGTAAGTGGCTTGCGTCAAAACGTTGTTTGTGGGACAAAAAAAGAGACTGTATAGCAGCACCTGAATTTTAGGTAGAACTACTTAAGAACATTGTGGTAGAGTTTCATGCTATTTTCATGTCAGTAAGTGGGTTGGGAGTTTGTGTTGAAGTGATTTTTTTTTAAATTCTATTGTCAAATATTTATGGTAACAAAACAGTCTTGAGTAGTTATAGTTAGAACACCTCCACCTGTGATTACAAGTCTTTCCCTCAAAGTCCACTGCCCCCTTTTGTGTTTTTTTTGGCTGTTTATTATAGTGGATTATGTTGATGAATCAAAATAAATACCCATGGAATGTTTACTCATTGTTTGGTATCATGAAACTTAAATGGGATTATTTGAATTTTGAATAATGTCAGCACCATTTCAGCGTTGTGCTGTCATTAAATAGAGATCCTAGATCGACTTAGTATTAAGTAGGATTCTATCTCATTTGGCATTATGTACAAAAAACTGCTTCTGTACTGTCTTTAAGGAAATGTGAGTGATCCTCCATGTTCTTTCATTATGTGCTGTATGCCTAATATTTAAGTCCTGAGATTCTTTTTTAGTATTGTTCCATTTGGTGTTTTCAATAATGAATATTTATAAGGAAAATTAAAGTCATGTAACAAAGTTGCTTTTATATTTTAAGTAAAAAAACTAAGCAATAACCAGTTCTGATTTTTATTTTCCCAAATTTCTCTGAGTATGTACACTGACTTGGTAACTTTCTTTTTATTAAACCTAAGGTATATATCAGTGACTGTTTAATCACACACATAAGCTAATTTTAAAATGACAGAAAGTTAAAAGTGAAGTTGAATGTTGTTTCATAGAGTTTAAACCCAAGAGTCTTGCATGTGCCTAATTAAGTAACAGTTATTAAGTTTTGTGCCTTTTTTTTCTTCTTAAAAAAAACAAAACAAAACAGGATGATGATGCTGAAGCTATCCTTGCTGCAGACTTTGAAATTGGTCACTTTCTACGTGAGCGTATAATCCCAAGATCAGTGTTATACTTTACTGGAGAAGCTATCGAAGATGATGATGATGATGTGAGTGAATCTGAAACCTGCAGTGAAATCATTTGGTGAGGGTATGGTGGTCAGCTGGTGAGCAGTTAAACGAACAGATGTAATTTTTTAAAAAACAGAATAATTCAAAGGTTAATTACTGATGTTCTATAGACAACTTTCCTGAACTGTTTTAAATATGTCCTCTTAGGATCTTTGGTAGCTTTTATTTTCCTGCTAATAGGAGACTGCTCTGAATTAGTGCAACTTTACTGTGTTTGGTCAGTGTTGTAGATGTGTTATGCTCTTGTTTTTGACCAAACAAAACATGTCTAAGATATTTTTTATTACTTTTAAAAATACTAGGAAGCATAGAATATTTATCCAAAGGAATATTAAGCAACAATTAAGTAAAACTAGGCTGCCCTCAAATATTTTGGCTATCTTAATTGCTAAATGTCAGTCATTCAAATAGATTTAGGGCCTTTTTGTGCTGTGTGTTTGCATAAGTACAGGCAAGTAATATTTATAGTAATAGTTGTATGATCACACGCACAATTGTACTGTATTCTTTATTTTAACTTCTAAAATTGTCAGATTTAGATAACGGCCCTGAATTGAGTGATTCTTGCAGCCATTTAATTTATAATTGCCTTAAGGAAAGTATTTTCCTCTTTTTAGTTATTAGTGGAGACAAGATGGCTGTAACTAATGCTATTCTCAAATGTTTGTTAGCTTCATTCAAACTTCATCCTTTTTTCCCTTTTTAGTATGATGAAGAAGGTGAAGAAGCAGATGAGGTAATGTTTACCAAATGAGCAAATAATTCTCTGTTTAACACATTGAGAAGCAAATTGAGTGACTTATGTATTCCTTTGCTATAATCATTATTCTGTGATACGGGATATAAGCCTTTTGGAAAAAAATACGGTTTTAGAATTCTACAGCCAAACAATGTATGTATGAGGTTTCAATAAATAAATTGCAAAACTCAGAACATTTTTTTTATTTCAAATAATTCTGTTCTGCTGCAGGGTTATCAGCTCTTTGAAGAAGTCAAAAGCTGCAGTAAACTTTTTCAACGTTGGCTGCAGTAAATCTTTTCAATAAAAGCTCTCTGGATGTCTCAAGTTGTGTTGGGAAATTTTTCATATTAGAAGCTTTCAATTAAATTGCATTGTCACCATACTCTGTAATCATGAAAATCTTTTGACCCATAGAGTAACTTGTATTAAAATTTCTCCGTACGTTATGAGCCATTTCTTCCTACTGTGTACCTACTTCATGGATGCATTTTGAACTTTAATATAGGAAGGGGAAGAAGAAGGAGATGAGGAAAATGATCCAGACTATGACTCAAAGGTGAGCAAAATTAGTGCTACTTTCTATTAAATTTAAGGCAGGTTAAATAAGAGTTGATGTTTCTTAATATAAAGTTTATTTTTGTCCACTAAACTCTTTAATAAATCCTATTGCCTGGAGATGAATGTATAGTCCACTTGAATCCCCACTGGCATTTCAACAGTACATGAAATTTCAATGCACATTTCCTAAGAAGTTTTATTTTTGGTTCTGACTTTGTATTTTTCTTAGTTTCAGGCTAAATAAACCCTAGGATTCTATTTTAGTGTACATTATCTTGGGCTTTTTTTTTTTTTTTAAGATTTTATTATTTGAGAGGGAGAGCAGCACGAGGTAGGGAGGTGGAGGTGGTGCAGAGGGAGAGGGAGAAGCGTGCTCCCAACTGAGCAGAGAGCCTGATGCCTGGCTTTAACCCTGGACCATGACCTGAGCCCAAGGCAGACCCTTAACCGACTGAGCCACCCAGGCGCCCTGGGCTTTTTTTTTTTTTAGTTTTTTTGGAAGCATTTTATATTTCAAAGATTCATGAGAGAGAGAGGAGGCAGGTGGAGTGGGGGAGGGGCGGGGGAAAGGGAGAGAGAGTGAGCAAGCAGGGAATCCTCAAGCAGATTCCCTGACCTAGACGGCCTGAGGGGGCGGGGGGCGGGGTGGGGCGGAACTCTGGCAGGCCCCCTTAGAAGTATTTGAAATTACTTAACTGCTTGTGTTCTTAGGTTGTCCCTCCAGAGGATAGTTTTATAAACAAAGGCCAGTTTTTAAATAATCTGATTGCAGGAGTGCTTGGGAATAGGGAAGCAGCAGTACTGTTTGTTAGGTTCTCCCAACCACCTCTGTTCTTTGAGGCTCCTGATCTGTTGTTCTTGGGTATTTGTCATATCAGGGTTAGTAAAGCCCTTTATCTCTCCGAAAATACATAGTACATTATTAGGATTCATTTGAAACTTTTGGTTTCTGTTAAATGCATTCGTTCATTTGCTAAATACTGTAAAAGATCCGGAAGATACTTTAGTGGGCAGGTAAGAGAGGGGTAGTTAAAAATCAAATTAATTGTTCTAAAGGGTATGAATTAGTATGTTTCAATAATTGTAATTGATATATAAAAAGGCAAAAATAATTGGTAATATGACTAACATAAATTGCTTGGTTATTTTGGTTGAGTGTGTTATTTTATGGAGTTCATTCCCCAATGTAGAATTTGGGCCTTATTTTAGCATTTTTGTGACTTGCTAATATTTTAATAAATAATTTGTCATCCTCGCTATACCATTTCTTTAATTTGGCAAAAATTTTGGTAGAACATTGAGATAATATATGATAAGTACTATTGAAAATTAACTGAAGCAGGTAGAAAAAGATAGATTGACTTGTTGTTTTCCTTTAACAGAAGGATCAAAACCCAGCAGAGTGCAAGCAGCAGTGAAGCAGGATGTATGTGGCCTTGAGGATAACCTGCACTGTAATAGCCTAAACACAACTATTATTTACTTACAGCCTTATGTTTTTGTATTTTCTTGGTAGACTCAGTAATTTTTTTTAAAGGAAAGGAACTGATAATTTTAAAGACCAATTTGTTCTACTTATCATTTCAACTCTAGTTTTTCTGCCAGGTCTATTGATTGCACAAATTCTTTCATGCATGTTCATTCATCACTACATGGTTTGGTTCTTCTGGAGTAATTTTTATCATGTAACAAAGATTTTAGATTACAGCTATGAAAATGAACAGAACTGTTAAACTTTTTTTTTTTGCTTTGCCAATTTTTTTCCTGAAGAACCAAAGTATTTTTTTTTCAGCTGGTAGTTGAATTGGGTTTACGTTTGCTTGCACTAGCTGTGCCTTTCATTACTTTGCTGTAGAAATGCCGTGACTTAGACTGAGACAATTCCTCATTTAAAAAACAAAAACAAAAAAAACTTGTTGAGACAAATATATGGTTAAGAATTTCCAGTAAGACCACAACTGATAACTTAGATTATTAATGGACTTTTGTATTTTAGGTGACATAGTTAGAAACCTAGTAAGGAAACCATAGTAAGGAAAACTAACGCATAGTGTGGTTATTGGTTATTGTAGGGAAGTGAATAAAACCTATTTTCAGAAGTTAAGCCTCATTATTTTAACTGTACTTTTAAATATAACTTCCATTAACTAAGCATCTTTTCTTTATGGTAGGGTCTACCTTCTGCTTCCCTGGAAAGGATGAATTTACATCATTTGACAAGCCTGTTTCAAGTTTTTTTGTTATTGTTTGTTTGTTTTGTTTTTCCAGCTTAAAATAAAAATGTCAAATATAATTTTAGTTCTCACAAGATAATGTCTTAATTTTCTACTAATTCAGGTAGTAGCAGAGGCCTAGCTTGAATTAAGCATTGTACCCAGTTTACCATATTATGGAAGTGAAGTGTGTCAACTTTGGGAGAGGTACTACATCTGCTAATTAAGAAAATATAAAAAAGAAAGACAAAATCTTAAATGATGTAATGTTTTTTTAAAAGAGTAAAAGGTTAAAATTTTATTTTCCTTTGATTAGAGCTAGAAAGAAGGCCCCAAGCTTCTATGGTTAATTCTGATTCTTACTGCTTTTAAAGTATGAATATGTCATTTACCCATGCTTCTGTTTACTATGTATTAAAATGGGTAGTACTGTTTACCTAACTACCTCACAGATCTGTTAAGGCATATTAAGTTAGATTTTATGAAATGTTTCTCGATCTCATTAAAAGCTCAAAAATTGGACCTATTTGTACTACAAGTATGATATTCAGCATTTTATTCATACCAGGGTTTGATAATTCAACTGGAAAACAGGTTCAAGTACCTCTGTTCTGGATGTGGTCAGGCAACATTCTTGCAGATCTTTGTGTGGCTCCTATCTTAATAGAAGCTGCTAGAACAGCAACTCTTTGAAAAGGTCCAAGGATTGTTTTTAGGTATTTTAGTTATGACCATATTGTAGTAAAATACTACAGAGATCATGGGACTAACGTAGGAAGAAGACCATTTTTAGTTGGGGGGAAATGCCATTAAATTTGAGTCTGTAGAGCCACATTTAAAATACCTCAGGCTAATTACTGTTAATTTTTTGTGATGAGCTTAAAAGCTTTGATAGTGAGGGTGGACTAAATGGATTATAATTAGAGGATGGCCTAGAGTTCCTGCTCTTAATAAAATTACATTGTTTGTTTTTAGAAGTGATAGAGCTTCCTTTTTGAAAATTTAGTATTTAAAGATCTTGGAATGTGAACACATCTTGTTAATTGTGTAATACTATTCATTCCTCTTCTGAGATTTTAATTAACTACTGGAAATCCTTAACCAGTTGCAGTAGTGTGTAGGAAAAAAAATGCCATGAAAACACTTTGTTTTTCCTCTTTATTTTGAAAATGCTTTTCGTTGCTTTGATTAGACATTCTTTGCTGATTTTTGTTTTTGTACCCATAGCTCATTCGATCACAGCCTTTTCTGAACTTAAAAAAATTTAAAGCTAGAATCCCATTTTTAATGAACTTAAGTAGCAGAACCACTATTTTTTTTTTCATTCCTTTAGGTAATAGCTATTGCCAAAGTGAAGGGGCAGATACTATTTCATCTTGTTATATAAAGGGATGTGGTTTGCAGAGGAATTGTTTTCTTAATAAATTTGGCATTGCAAGGGATATCAGTGTTCATCTATGCCATCTCTCCAGTTCCAAAATGGTTCTATTCCATTTTAGAAATTTGAAATATGTAATTTGAAATCCTTAATAAAATTTGCGTTTAATTTTATAAAATGTACTGGTGATATTTTGGGTGTTTTTTTAAAAATGTGAATATATTTCTATATACTTTTTTTTGAAGAGTAGAGATGTTTAGAGTAGGCTATTCTGTGCTTAGGCCAGGATGGCCTGTAAATTTGTATAATTTTAAAAGGAACCTCCCAAGCCCTGCTAAATGGAGTTTGTTACTGGAAGACTAGAAAGGTTTTTACTCTGAGTTAACTATAGACATTTTTGAGACACTTTGAATTTTGTCTTTACATTTTCAGTTTATAGTTTCCCCTAACTCAGGCACAGATTACCAAGAAGTTCTATTTTTTCTCTCTAGAAATGGCAGAATCTCATATAATCAGCCCTATATAATACTTCAAAAATTTTTTTTCTGTCATTTTATGGTCATTCAAATATGGTAAGTAAACAGAACAGTAGTTTCATAAATCAGTTTTTTTAGTTTAACACAGATGTCCGAAAGTTTATGTAATTTTTCAGAATTCTTTTATCTAGTTGACTGAAGTAGTATTAATATTTCTGTGACATAAAAATGTGTGGGACTGGCTTACAGAGTAATAACTTAAGAAAAATGGGATTCTACCTCTTGTTTCCTTTTTAGCTCATATAATAAAAACAAACCTGAAAGGGAGACATTAGCTTTGATAGAAATATTTTCATTATAATGTGAATAGGTTAATGATACTGATTGGTATATAATAAGGCCCCTAAGATAACTGAATTAATTAATCATATTACTGCTGTTTGTAAGACAGTATGAATTTGTGGGTTTATCTGAGTTGTAGGCCATTACCATTATTAAAAGTAAAAATAAAACTTTAAATTATTGTTTGTGAAAACCTTATCGTACAATGCAGAAATATTAAACTAATATTCAGATATTCTTTGAATGCTTGGTTTCAGGGCTTGGTTTAGAATTTGAGTCCATTAAGGGTTAGTGTTACAAAAATTTTAGTCTTTATATTTTTTGACTAAGTTAAGCCAAATGTTATTTTAAATGTACAGAATAAAGGTAGTTTAGAAGTATATGTTCTTAAAAGGAACCTTAGGAAAGAGAAATCCTATGCTACTTTAGGGTTTTTTTTTTTTTATCTTCTGCACTGTATATACTTGGTAATTGTGAACTGGATTTTGTTTTGAAAATATGTGTTCATAATTTAGGTAATTTGCTACTTAAAGCACTAAGTCTAATAGCTGAAAAGTAAATGTAAATGATAATGGTGAAATTAACTAACTTATAGATGTACAATGGTGATTTTGTATACTGGTTTAAAAATCCAGGTATCAGAATATAACTTGGATTAAAAAACCAAGTTCTTAGGGATCACTTATGTGACTTCTGAGAAATGGAAACATCTTTGTTGGAGTGTGAAATTACTTAAAGGATGAGTATCCATAAGAAATTTTTAATTGATGTATTAATTATATTTTCAAAAAATACAATATACTTTGTATCTTGTGTTTCTTCCGTTTGACCTCATTATGTACTTTTAGGTTTTTCAGTTAAAATTAAGGCATTGACTATCAAGTGTAAAATAGATGAGAAATGGAGCATAACAATTTAGAAATAATAAATTGCCAGCAGGACATAAGTCATTAATCCAGTTGCTTAATTTTCATATTGGAAATTGACAGTTTGTAGCTTTTGTAGATCTCTTAATTACTTGTTTTGAGTTTTTTTATTTTGAAACTCAGGAGAAAATGTTGCTTAAGATAAAAGTAGTTTTTAGTTTTTGTGTGATTTAAACTTAAAAACCAAGAAGGAACTTGGGGATGAGTGATCAAACGTGCCAGAAGTTGACAAACCTCATATCAAGAGTTAACGCTATTGATAGTCATAATTTTGATATTCATAATGAGGTTAGGCAGTTGTGGCTCTGATAAATTTTTCATGAATTGAAGTATTTTCTACCAGAAGACTCAAAACTTACATGACAGCTTTTAGCTGGGATTTCAAGGGTGAGTAGGAATTTGTGTAGTGAAGGATGGATCCTTTGAGCAGAGAACAGTTCAGGTGAAGGTACTGGAGGAGACACACTGAAAGTGCTGAAGTAGGACAATCTGGGGCACATTCAAGGTGTTGAAAGAATGGATGGAGATAGAAGAGGCCAAGCCATGGAAGTCCTTTTAAAGGGTTTAAAACACTAAAAATCACCTGTTGAGAGTATTTCAAGTGAGGACCCTTCCATGAAGGCAATTTTTAAACTAAGACATAGTGTAGCTCTGATTCTGAAGATACGGTTACTGATTATGCTACATAGCCCTATATTCTTATGCATCCATATACACATTGTTTCTAAACTATTTGACAAAGTTGCAGGCATCATACCCTTTTACTCTCTGCTGTTTTTTTCTCATTATGAAGACGTTCTCACAATCACAGTACAAGTAATGTTGAATGTGCAGTCAAATTTGTTTTGACCAGTGAAAATAGATTAAAAACAATACAGAGTGAATGCTTCAAAGTTAATCCAACACAGGATTTTTTTCTTAGCCTTCCTCCAGTCCGTATTTGTAACTACCTTCATCAAATAGGTGGACTCAGGAATGAGAATTGTGGGTGAGGTTGCTCTATAGGAATAAAAAACCATGAATAAAAAAAGCCATATAGCCCCTAAACAAGTGACGAATTATCATTTTTTAAATAAATGTGGGAATAAAATAGTTAAAATTGGGTGGTAGAGGTAGAATTGTTAAATACAGGCTTTGGGGTTCATCTATCATGTTCATTGTTTTGTGAAGATTGTGGTGAGCACTAATGAGAACACAATGCTTCTAGTACTTAGAACCTCATATAAATAATGAGCATTTAGTAAATGTGCTTCCGTAACATAAGAAAATCTAGAACTTGTAGTTGGAATCACATTTTAAATTGATTTTGGCAGTTAATTTTAGAAAACTAGTTGGGGTTTTGTGTTTCTAAAGGCAAAATGGCTGTTGGCTAAGAGGTGCCCTACTTGGTGTACAAAAGAGCAGACAAGACTGGATGAGAAATATAAACGTATTTCATTTTGAAAGTTTTTTTATTTAAAATTAAAATAGAAAATAATTTGTTCTCTAAAGTCAGCTAGTTTTAAAAAGATCTCTACTTATTTTTTATACATGTTTTCATATGCTAATTTTTGGCCTTGGCTTTCATACAGAAATAATCTAGAGTAAAATTAAGTCTGAAGTATTTGGATATTGATGCTCCAGAACACCCAAGTTGTCACTATTCAGCCCATCTTCTCCATCCCTAACATTTACCTGGAGCTCTGGACATTGTGACAGGTAACCTAGAGGCAGACAATGAGATAGGTGTCTGTTTTGAAAGAAGATGTTATTTTAGATTTGGATTAGGCTAGTTGATGTAAGTTTTAAAACTAGAAGCTGAATCTGATCTCTTTGCTGTTAGTTGGCTTGGTGACTGGGTGTACAACCTTTAGAGCAGCTTCGGTATCAACAACCCAGCCTGTCTAACTTGCATTTGCACTGTTCCAACTCTGCTTGGCTGCCTTTTCTTTCACCTTTTTCCTGCCACTAGTCTTCTGTGCATGGCTTACTTGCAACATAGTCTCTTTTTCTTTGATTTAATACGTATTCTGATTCTTCAGTTCTGAACTGGCTCTACCAGTTGAAGAGGTGGTTTAGGGATGCATGCTTGCTGTTGGATTTCCTAACTTAACAGTACTGGGATGGCAGGCGTACAGCAGACTTTGTATGTGTAGATCAGTTAGGATATATCTGGACTCTATCCGTATTACCAAACCATTCTTATGGGTCTTGTAACAAGATAAACGATGGATTCTCGTTGGTTCAAGATAGTCTAAGGTCCTTTGTAGTTGTCAAATCCTACATACTGGTTGGCTTATATTGAGGAAATGGTAAAACAATGCTTGGTTTTTGTATATTGTTCTGTAAATTCACTGGTTCTATGAGATCATGGAAAGTATCAATAGTTGCAGTTACCTAGTACTGGATAACAAAACCACTCTCAAAATTTAAGACATTGACAAGATTATTTTGTTGACTCTGCTTGGTTATAGTTCATTCCTGCTGTACTGAGCATCGTTAGGGGCAGTGTTTGGAAGACAGGGGCTGGATTCATCTGAAGCCTTTTCATGCACAGGTGGTTGATGTTGGATGAGATCTCAGCTGGGATGTAGCCAGATCTCTACTTAGATACTGCCTTATAGTAGTGTAGCTGGGTTCCAAGAGGTAAAAGTTGAATCCTTTTTATGACCTAATCTGGGAAGTCCTCACTTACTCTATTGGTTATAGTCAGTCACAAACCCACCCAGGTTTAATTACAGAAGGGGACTACATCTTCCTGGAGGAATAATAAGATTTTGGATGAGAGGAACTGAAATCTTACAATGGCCGCAATTTTTTTATTTTTATGAAAACAGTTGGCTACAAGAGTTTTTCAAAATGACCAGAAACATAGTTTAAATTATATATTGTATGCCTGTTATTGGAGAAAGAATGTTTTACTCTATCATATTAGAATCTTTTATCATTTGACTCTTCTGGACAATTGAGATTCCTAAACATACATAATTAGCTCATTCTTAATCCTAAAAATCTCAAGATTGATTAGTAAAGTAACCTTAAATGGTAAGTATAAGGTGACCATTAAGTATAGATTGATTTTCATTTTTTTTAAAGATTTTATTTCTTTGTCAGAGCGCGCGAGAGCACATACAGGGGGAGCAGCAGGCAGAGGGAGAAGCAGGCTCCCAGGCGAGCAGGGAGCCCGATGCGGGGCTTGATCCCAGGACCCTGGGAGCATGACCTGAGCCGAAGGCAGCCACTTAACTGAGCCACTCAGGCGTCCCAGTATAGATTTAGTTTTAAAGGTTAGGTATAATATATTGTGAGGAGTTCAGAGAAAAACATTGCTCTACTGTTTCTATTTTAAACTAGGTGGGACTTTGCTTTTATAGCATTATAGATCTTGATTATTTTTGAAAGAGCCAAATGTGTACCCATTTAAGGTAGTATAAATAATGCTTTGGGGGTGCCTG